AGCAGCTGTTTTTTCCCATCGGACTTCTTTAGAAACACCTGTTTAAAGTTTTTCCCTCAAATAGCAGCTGTTTTTTCCCATCGGACTTCTTTAGAAACACCTTTTTAGAATTTTTCCCTCAAATAGCAGCTGTTTTTTCCCATCGGACTTCTTTAGAAACACCTTTTTTGGAATTTTTCCCTCAAATAGCAGCTGTTTTTTTCCCATCGGACTTCTTTAGAAAAACGTTTTTGGAATTTTTCCCTCAAATAGCAGCTGTTTTTTCCCATCGGACTTCTTTAGAAACACCTTCTTAGAATTTGTCCCTCAAATAGCAGCTGTTTTTTCCCATCGGACTTCTTTAGAAACACTTTAGAATCTTCCCCTGAAATAGCAGCTGTTTTTTCCCATCGGACTTCTTTAGAAACACCTTTTTAAAATTCTTCCCTCAAATAGCAGCTGTTTTTTCCCATCGGACTTCTTTAGAAACACCTTTTTAGAATTTTTCCCTCAAATAGCAGCTGTTTTTTCCCATCGGACTTCTTTAGAAACACCTCTTTAGAATTTTTCCCTCAAATAGCAGCTGTTTTTTCCCATCGGACTTCTTTAGAAACACCTGTTTAAAATTTTTCCCTCAAATAGCAGCTGTTTTTTCCCATCGGACTTCTTTAGAAACACCTTTTTATAATTTTTCCCTCAAATAGCAGCTGCTTTTTCCCATCGGACTTCTTTAGAACCACCTTTTTATAATTTGTCCCTCAAATAGCAGCTGTTTTTTCCCACCGGACTTCTTTAGAAACACCTTTTTATAATTTTTCCCTCCAATAGCAGCTGTTTTTTCCATCGGACTTCTTTAGAAACACCTTTTTAGAATTTTTCCCTCAAATAGCAGCTGGTTTCTTCCCATCGGACTTCTTTAGAAACACCTTTTTAGAAATTTTCCCTCAAATAGCAGCTGTTTTTTCCCATCGGATTTCTTTAGAAACACCTTTTTGGAATTTTTCCTCAAATAGCAGCTGCTTTTTCCCATCGGACTTCTTTAGAAACACCTTTTTTGAATTTTTCCCTCAAATAGCAGCTGTTTTTCCCATCGGACTTCTTTAGAAACACCTTTTTAGAACTTTTCCCTCAAATAGCATTTTTCCCATCGGACTTCTTTAGAAACACCCCTATAGAATTTTTCCCTCAAATAGCAGCTGTTTTTTCCCATCGGACTTCTTTAGAACCCCCTTTTTTTCCCTCAAATAGCAGCTGTTTTTCCCATCGGACTTCTTTAGAAACACCTTTTTAGAATGTTTCCCTCAAATAGGAGCTGTTTTTTCCCATCGGACTTCTTTAGAAACACCTCTTTAGAATTTTTCCCTCAAATAGCAGCTGTTTTTTCCCATCGGACTTCTTTAGAAACACCTTTTTAGAATGTTTCCCTCAAATAGCAGCTGTGTTTTCCCATCGGACTTCTTTAGAAACACCTTTTTAGAATTTGTCCCTCAAATAGCAGCTGTTTTTTCCCATCGGACTTCTTTAGAAACACCTTTTTATAATTTTTCCCTCAAATAGCAGCCGTTTTTTCCCATCGGACTTCTTTAGAAACACCTTTTTTGAATTTTCCCTCAAATAGCAGCTGTTTTGGATGATCGAACCTCGACGAGTCTCATTTGAAGATGCAGCTATAATTCACCAGCTGGTTGCTGTGGTAGTGAGTGTGTATGCTTGACTGCACTTGCGCTTCAGCCAATACTTCCCAAGGTTCCACTGGGCGTATCCCAAGGGCATTTTTGACTCCTTGGATGCCAGCTGCATCATTTGCAACGAGGACGGCGTTCATCAATGGGTTGACCAGTGAACAGGTGACTGGCGCCTGCTATCACTAGTAAGTCACCTGAGGGCGGCCACAGCTAGAAGTCGACTGTTCTCCTCACCCGCTGATCTTCGGCAGGATCAGGTGCTGGAGATTATTGATGCACATGGCTGCCATGCTGTGAAGTATTCTGCCCCAGGCTTGGGGCCTTACAGCCCAAGCTGCTTGGCTCAGGATCTGGTTTCTGTCAGTGTTCCCACAGAGCAGTCTAAGTCTAAGCTTCACAATTGAATCAAGCGGCAATTGTAGATGTTAATTAAGTTATAACCCACATCTGAATATATTGGAATGTATTTGAATGACCAAGTCCAAAGTCTGGACTTCCCTCCTTCCCGGTCAAATGCTGGATATGGGAGTTCCTTGAACACTCTGTCCCCGAGGACCCGGTTCCCAGAGCAAGAGTGGCGGACGCCACGGCGACCGAGCGGAAGGCTCCAAGGCACGGCGGGAAGGACCGGCGAAGCCGCGGGGTCTACCTGCTGAGGGTCCACCTGAGGAGGCACATCTACCGCCGTCATGGAAGGACCAGACCCACTTTGTAAAGGAAAAGGGGCTCCTTCAAAAGGATTAAAACGGTCCATGTGGTCAGAAGTGTTGGAGGAGCACTTATAAATTGCAGTTGAGCAAATGGACTCGGCCACTCGAAGCCATGCACATCTTAACCGTAAGGGCCAGGACGCTACCACCTACCGTCACCCATCGCCGTTTCGCCGTTTCGCGGGCCAGGCCATGATTACTCCGGTCTTTTGCCACGAGGACACCAACGACCCCACCTCCCGAAGAGGCCGGGCACGAAAATTCGAGCATCGCTGTGGAGGGTGGCGGGTACCTTGGCCTTTGGCGCTCTTCCGGGGTTCCGAAAGGCTTGGTCTCCGCATGAGGATGCTCCTGGACCAGTTGTTGGCTTTGCTTTTTCAGCTTGTCAATGCAGCTGCATTGTCTTGTGGCAAAAATCACCGAGGCTTGAGAGGCGGTCAGGTGGTGAAAAACGACGTCGACGCAGACTCAGACGGGTGCTTAGTACGGAATAAGGCAATGAGCCCCCAACAGAGATTTCTTGAAATCCATTCCCTCATTCCCTACGAGTCGCACCACTCAGCTGATTGTGTAACAGGTGTTGCCGGTGTTGCTGTCAAACTTCACTCCCCCCTCCTTTCATGCAATGCAATGTCAAATTCAATGGTCTCCTTCCACCGTTCCCAGATATTCCCAGCGATGCCAGGCAAGCAAGTGGTGGAGATCCGAGTGGATTTGCTGCCGCCCAGCGTCACTGACCTCCTTTTTGCTACTTCGGACGAGAAGGAAGCAGAGGTGGACGGGAGGCTCCAGGAGCTTGAGGTGTGGGCATTCAACACGGCCTAGTCAATACCTAAGAACAAATACTTTACACACAATAGGGCACTATAGCAATGGATGATTCTCATGATGTGCCGCCCAAATGGTGGTACGTTTTGAAGTGCAAAAGGATGCCATTACAGATGCTCAAACACCTTCAGAACACACCGTGGAGCCGCCAAAGAAGGACCGTTGTTTCTGCATGTGGTGTCCCTGCCCCTATTTAGATGGGTGAATCAAGTGAATTCCTTGAAAAGCAAGCGCCCATTCAGCCTAGGATTTGATGAAAGCAGAAATCTCATGGAAACCCTGCCGGGTGACCTGTATATGATGACAATGATGACACCTCATCACTAGCAGCCTCCCAGACGCGTGGATGACCCAGAGGATAATGAGTACTGTTCTGCAAAATCCCGTGAAGAGGAGCAAATTCAATAGACTCCCTTTGTAACTACATAGACGTCTAGATCTTCTAACCAGCTTGCACAAAACCCACCGTGACATCCACCCCAACACCAGATGCCTCTGGAAGATTTCCATCCTGGCTGGGGTGCTGAAACGGGCTTCATGTCACCCAATCTCTTGCACATGGACTTTGAATTGAAACCACCTTCACCCTTTCACACACCGGGGTCGTCCTCGGGACTCCGGGGTCGTCCTCGACGGCGAGGGCGGGGCTTTGGAGGGTGAGCTTCGGATGTCCGAGGTCATCTCCCCGACCAACTCCCGAGACTTGTCCAAGTTCACCTCCTTGCGCTCCTGGGCAGCACGGCCTGGGCGATTCGTGGACCAACCCCCCGGTGATGGGGGAGCGGGTTGATGAAACGCGCGAGTCTGCCATGGTGGTGTTTGGGAGGGGTGGTGTTCTCACACATGGGATGGAGTGATTCCTTGTGATGGACTCACATAAGAACAGCTTAGATATGCTTATGGATACTATTAATTAGGTTTGGCAGAGGCCAGTGGGCAGAGAACAAGAGGTTCCGCACTGAAAGAAACATAGAAGCTGTGGATCCGCGGCAGAGGCATCAATGTTGTGGGCAGTTCCCTGCAACCACTACACTCTTGGTGTGTTTTCTTGCACTCTCGAAGAGGAAAAAATAAACCCGCAGACACAAAAAAGTGGCGTGGGTTCAGCGGGCTTGCCTTATTGTTGAAGTAAGAACTCTTGCAGCACGCAGCAGTGGGAGGATATCCCGCTCCCACCTTTTGGACAGGGCTCCAGACGCAATTGTCAATCGAGATCATCATGGTCAATGACATCACTGCCCTCCAACAAACTTATAGCCCCCGTTCACCAATGACTTGCAAAACATCTAAAACACAAGCGCCAAGAACATGGGACCAAAATCAAAGCAGCAAGCTGGTCCAAGATCGGACCTGAAGTCCTTCAGCTTTGACCTGTCTCGCTTCAGGCTGTGTGGTGGTGGACGCGGAGTCAGAGGGCAACGAAATCTTGGCTGACAACGAAGTGGGCTATCACCCCAAGTTTGGCGATGAGCCCCTTGGCGAGTGCATTGGGACATATGCACATCTCTCAATTTACAATGAACATCTTTTAGGCGGCATTTGTTCAACCACTGAGAAGCAAGCACACCAGCACACCCACAAGCGCCTCCAAGCGACAACGGCGACAACTGCTTCTCCACGTGAGAAGCAAGCACACTGGAAAATAGAAAAAGATGAAAAAGCGCCTCCTTGGGGCCAGTTCTTGCCCAGGAGTGCCACGTTGGTCAGCATTTATCGTTTGGAAGATGAGCTGTGGCATGTGAACAAGATCAACTCTTTTGGTCGTGGAAGCCACCGGGACTACAGGACCCGCGCAGGGGGATTCTCCCGGTGCCGAAGGTATGGTGGTGCAGCTGGTGAGTGGGTTTTGTATGGTTTTCTCACTTTCGGATACTTTCTTCAGACTGCTGATTTGGCAGGAGCTAACGAGCCCTGGATAGCAAAAGCTTTCCTTGGAACTGCTGAGAGCTGAATCCATGGTTTTGGCCCCTACCATCCCCTACCCTCATTCGCAACTCCTGCAATAGGAACTCGTACGGCTCAGGTGTGTGTGTGTGTGAGAGAGAGAGAGCCACGGCTGGGCGAGCGATAAAAGCCGGGGAAACGCAACTCCCAATGCTTCACCTGTTCGGAAAGTCCACATTCCAGCAGCTTGAGCTCACCCCCAACCCCACCCACCATGGGCTTTTCTTCAGTCAACCAGCGACCGTCTCTATTTTCAATAGACCAGCCCAGCCCGGCAGTAGTTTTGAAGCTTGTGGACGACGCTTCCCTGCACTTGTGGCATTCTGCAAGCCGCCAGTCGCCAGGACGATTTTGAACAATTTGTTGGAGCTGGGCTATCCGCGCAATCCTGCCATGAAGAACTTAGTCCCACCTGTGCTTGAACGAATTCAAGCAGCTCAACGAATAAACGAAAGAGAGGACCAAGATTGGTGACCACTGGCCAGCCGGCAGCGGGGTTTGACCGACACCCATGTTGTGGAGCTTTGTTTGGCGGTTTTTGTGATTTATGCCAACCAGGAGGGTACATACAAATGTTACAATATGTTACAATGTTCAACGATTGAAATTACTTAAGGGATCTTAAGGGCAAGTGGATCGTTTGCAATTTTGTTCGGATCATTTTAGAAGCTCGCAGAATCACTTAAGACTTAAGAACATTCCACGAAGATGGAGTCTCCAATGAAGACGGGTGAGCTCTTGCACGGAGAAAAGTGTCACCTTTTGCTGAACTAACCTTCTTCGTGCACGGGTTCTCTTTCTTTACCTACACGTTTCTGGCTTCGTTGATGGTTTGCTTTCGGGGGAGATTTGTGGCCATCCTCAGCAAGGAAGAGCTCTCGATCTCTCATCCAGTGAAAGAGACAGTGGTCAGCTTGAGTCTTGGCCCCAACAAGGTGACAGCTCAGGTTCGCTTTGGAAGCAAAAATTCCATGCATCCAGTAGATACCGAACTTCGACTGGCCAGCCCAGGCGTGCCCAGGACATTCACAAACCTGGATGGGACTCGAAGCCATTCCTTTGGAACTGCTGACGATGGCCTCCAACCTAGAGCGACGGCCTCCACCCTAATAGAGGCCTCCACACTAATGGCGATAGCCTCCAACCTAAGAGCGATGGCCTCCACCCTTAAGAGCGAAAGGAGCTATATGTTTATGCTAGAAGATCCCAACGCAGTGGCTCGGACACTGGGGTCTGGCCAATAGACGCCTGATCGACACCCCCCGCAGATCCACTAGTTGTGCCACTTTAGATGTGATGAGAAATCCACACTCCCGAAAACTCACTTGGAAGTGGAAATCCACCTGTTTGTAGTGGAATATGATCTTCCAAGGGGCCATTCTCCACTTCCATGTTAGTTCCAGGGAGTGTACGCAATTTGGGATGACACCATTCAATTTTATTTGAGGCCATTCATGTAGCCAGATCATGTAGCCACACCAGATGTTTGGATGAAGGGATTCGCCCCCTACCGGACACTGAAGCAGACTGAAGCAGATGTTATTCTGGGATATTCTGGGAAGATGGAATTTGACTGGGTTTGGGGCGGTTTTGAACCCAGTTGAAAACTGAGGACGCAGAAACATGCCTTGGAGATGGGCTATGCTGTTGAGTTGTCTGGCGACCAAAAAGCCATGACCGCAGAGTTTCTCGAGCAGCCTGGCAACGTCGGGGGGAGCAACGTCATGGAGAGTCACCGGAGAGTGTCCAGCATGTTTGGATTCACTAATCTCTCACATGCAGTGTCACAATTGAATGATATGAATGATAGAGCTGCAGAATGCTGCAGCAGAGAGGAAGCAGGTGGTTATGTGCTAGTGTGTATTTACAGCTAAGACGAGACAAATCAGGTCGGTTACTTTCTTGCCACATCACCGAGCCAACACCATGCGTCTAGAGCCTGAAGCCAACTAGCTGCAGCAGGTAGCAAGCAATCCAGATGATTACGTTGCCAATTTATGGGAGCCTCGAGTAACGAGTAACGTTATGATTTGTATGATAATGTATTATCCATTGATGTTGTTGATCAAGATCCACAAGTGCCACATTCCAAACCATTATGATGTCTATACAATAAGACATCCATGACATTCCATGTCCAGGGAAAGACCAGTTGTGAACTCGCATGAAAACATGAGTTTGTGTTCAAGCCGCAGCCGGGCAATATGCAATAATAAGCTTTAAGATGCGTAGAGGCAGGTTACAGGGTACGGTGATGAGCGTGAATAAGTGGATAGAAAAGGCTCCCATGCCTTGCTTCCCAAAGATATTCCAAACGCTGCGCGCGATGCCAAGCATTTTGTAGCAGACACCTTTTCGGCTTCGTAAGTCCTCCGGTGTTTCTTTCCTCGTTGAATTTCCTCTGCACGATGGAAGCTCATGGTTCCTTGGCCAAGGATTCTTGCATCTCCTGAATTTCCATCAGTGCCTGGCTTGCAGGATCTCGATCCAGGATTTGCACTTCGGTAAGGTGAAGACCCCTCAAAAATCACATGTCGTCACCGTCGTCCCAATGAGAATGCACCCTGGGGAAGTGAGACACCTGAACATAGACCTCCAACATGCTGTTATGATCTGTTTGTGAACAATTTTGTATTGCAAAACATCGTAAGCAAAGTTGTTTCGAGATTCCATATCAGTTTTTAGGGGAATGACGATGTTAGAAGTTGCCTGGCAGTCCCACTGAACCCTGAATACAGGAACGTATTGATTATTACCCATTGTCAGCGATTGAATGCCTAGAATATAATTGACGTACTTAAACTATTTTTGCTGTCTACTAGTCAAGGCTGCCCTCAGCAGAAGTGGTAGTGACCAGGGGGTGCTGCCGCGCCAGGCCATCTCCGACACCCTGTGGCTCTCTTCGGCCCGGCGGATGAACGCCAAGCAACTGACGCTCAAAGAGGACGGCCATCCCGCACGTGGGTCCACGGGTGCGGTGAGGAGGATGGGGGACTGGCTCCCAGGTCCAGGGCATCACCTGGAGATGGTGATCTTGTGCGATGCCCAGCGCCATCCAGTACCCCACAAATCCTCAAAAGCAGACCAGTGGGTGAAGTGACTGAACGGACGTCGCCCGCCCGGCCTTCGTTCGGAATGGGGGCCGCAACTTCTCGTACTCTCCCTAGAACTACCATGGAAGTGGAAAACCACCTGTTTGTAGTGGAAAATGGTCTTCCAAGGGGTCATTTTCCACTTCCATGTTAGTTCCAGGGAGCGTAGGTGTGTTTTGTTTCTCGTGTACTTCAGGCGGAACGTCTCGTCCAGCTCTTCAGATTCGTCTCGCGCCACTGGTGATGCTTCATGAGAACGCCGCGTTCGCGCCGGAGCCTCGAGACCCTTCGTGCTCAGCCCCTCTGGGCTCAGACCATGCAACTGTTTCACGTGAGCCACTGACCACCGTGAGCCGGAGACCCCAAACTAACAGGCCCAAGTGAGTGAGATGCCGATGCAAAGGCCGCGTCGATGGATGGCTGGTGAGACACAGGTATTTTGACATAGGGACACCTCCCCCAGGAAGCAGAAAGTCAGTGGCTCATACTCATACGGCTCACACGTTCGAGTCTTTCAATTCAGCCTCACACGCCGGGAGGGCTGATTCATGTGGACAAGCCTTCTCAAGCTACAGCTCTTATGGGTGGCCCAGAATCTTGGTGACCCGACCACGTGCCCCGTAGGTCCCGTTGGTCGTGCGTTGGCACTGGGCATTCTTGAGGATACCACTGACACGTCTGATGCGACATGTCAGTTGCAAATGGCTGCAGGCGTAGTGAACAGCGGCCAATCCTCCGAATGGCACCTTCTGCAGAACGTAGGCGAGCTCTTCAACCACTTCAGGGTCGACGACGGAAAGCCAACAACACTGGTGGGCAGCTTTGAGTTTTCAATGGGGGTGATAGGGCATGTGCTGACCATGCTTGTTTACAGCGGCGTGATTGTGGCTTTGATCTACCTGATTATCATCGGCCTACCGGCGAGAGCACCAAGAGATCCCGCAGTGGATGATGGCCCCACCACGAATTTGTTGATTTTCATGTGTTTGGTGTACGCCTTGGTGCACGTCACCAGCGACCAGTATATCCCAAACCTCCCGAAGATGGGCCGTGTTCTCCATGGCTCTCAATTTGTGATGTCTGGAAGCTTGCAATACACCATCTTGCTCAAAGGCAGGGTGGGGGCTTTCGCAGCTAGACCCAAACCAAGAAAAGAAGGCTCAAAGAGACGATTGTTTTTATCATGTTTCTTTCAGTGAGGTCGTTTGGCATCGACTAGGTTTGCGTCGTGCGGGGCGCGCCAGGTTGTGCCCTGGCGCACAACCACATGTGCTAGACTTTTGCTTGATGACCATGATTGTGCCAAAACCGGGGGGAACAGTCCTGCTTACCACATCCTGCAGGCCTTGTGGGGTTGATGGCCGCATGGTGTTCTGATCGAGTTGGCCGACGTCCAATGCTGTTAGCTGCGACGCTGCTGATGATGGTCACTTGCATCATGTGTGGATGTGCCACCAGCGTCTCGGCTGATTCATGTCGTAAAAAGTTCAGGTCTCTTTTTTGGGGGCCCGGCCAGCCTAGCCCAAAGAACACAAGGAACCCGTGAAACACTCGCACACGCGCACGCGCACAGTCACGCGCGGGCCCACCCACCCACCCACGCACGCACGCACGCACGCCCGCACGCCCGCACGCCCGCACGCCCGCCCGCCCGCCCGCCCGCACGCACGCCGATAGACCTTGTATCACTGTCGAACCTCGCCAAAACATCACCTGCTGGTATTCTCATGGGCGGGCCTTTTGTGTCGCAGGGTGTGCACTGCGTTCTCCCCCTTCATCCTGTCCGTCTGTGATTCCTGGCGGCCCAGGGGTGGAGTGGTTCCTGGCTTCGCGGTTGTTACAAGGCGTGGCGGAGTCAGTGGAGCCGGTGATTGTGGCCATGGCCAGAGACTACGCCAGTGAGGCCAAGCAACGACTGAAGCTTATCGGTGCCTTGGAGAGCCGACATAGTTGGAGTGTTAAGTAGTGGAATGCAGAAGGAATATTCAATAATATTTATATTCAAAATCATTGGTTGATGCTAAAACCAAATTGAAACCATGTTTGGAACTTCTGGACCTGGTCCAGAGATCGATGAGACTCGATTTGCATGGCTCACATGCCATAGGAAGCTATGAAGCCATTCATTACAGTGTTCTTGTATGGGCATTCGCGTATTCTTAGCCCAACGCTCTCATGATTCCCCGTTCGAGAAGGAGCTGTGTGATGGAATTCTTGCTTCAAGTTGCGATGCAAGAACTCACGCCATGTGCCCTGGTTTGTTTGAGGAATTTTGGAATGTATGGACTTCGTGGGGTGTTCCATCTCTCCAGTGTTTGGTGCTTGGATTGCGAGTCGCTACAACTGGCGGATGCCATTTTTCATTCTCTCAGTTGCTTGGGCCTTTTTGTCCTTCTATGGCTTCACTCAGCTCCGGGAAAGCGCGCCGGAGGCAGTCCGTTCTCCCAGCATCGCGTTTCACAAATGTTTGTGGCTCCCCCAATGGATTCGGTAGAATTGGGATCCCCAGGAACGGACACTCGCTCGCGCCCTGGGAGGCAAACCACAAGACAGCACCAAATCTCTCCAGAATCTTGGGCAACCCAAGTTTGCGCTGGCTACTTTTGACCGAAAGCTGCATCCTCGGTGCTTACTTCGTGATGGACACAAACAATAGACGCTCGCTCAAACTGTGTGACCAAGAGCCACAACTTTTCCTCCGAAAAGAAAACATGGGAAAGTCAACCTGCAGTTCGGGAAAGTGCGTTACAGTGTGTCCTTGACTTCAAAACTGTTGTGCCTAGTCTCAGCAACATAGATAGATGATGATAGATGCAAGCATATTCGATCCTTGTTCAGTGCCTTTTCTATGCGCACGTGGGCCACCACCAAATTACGCCTAAGTATTGTTCTCATTGATATGGTGCTTTTTGATCCATGAGCAGGCTATCTTTTGGAAAACACTTTTGGATGCTCGCCACTGGCCACTGCCCTGGTGATTCTGGGCTACGGCTTGTTGGCGGCCTTTGGCGCCGTGATGTCCCCGCACTTTTTCACCGGAACCATCATGGCTTGTGCTAAAACCACCTGCCAATTCTTCACCCTAATGGGATTGATTTCCTTCATGCTGGGCGTCTTTGCACCAGGCGTGAGAGACCTGGGTAGAGGGGAGATTTGGGGAGCCTGCGTTGTGGGTAAGCTGCTTTGGAAGAACTATACGGATTGATACGGCGGATTTGTGTAGATCCATGATCCATGTAATCATTATCCATGTCCAGAGCCTACTACGGCAAAAGGACGGCAGGCACGTTCATCAATGCTTAGATGGTTAGAGAATCCTATTTCCCAAAAGGGTTTTAGTGGCCACACGCCTCACCAGACCAGGTGATTTTTCCTATAGAAAGGAACTGGGCGCCGTGTTGTCTTGTGCCACGAAACAAGACGGCGACGACCGAGCAGCCGAGCGCAGGTTTACCCGGCTATGTTGGAGGAGTCTACCTTCAGGCCGAAACAGCGTCACCGAAGGGTGAAACTGGCCAATTGCCGAACTGGCCATCGAAATGACCGAATTCCCCCCTCAACAGAATCAGTAACAGAATCTAGAATCTTGATGAGTAAAAAGCCCTCCCAATATGGATGGTAAAACCATGTAAAACCTCTTAACACCACTCAAGCACGTGTGGGGGGGGTCATTTTCCTCAAGATTCTAGATGAGCCGAAGCTTCCATGACCGACTCCACTGAGCCAACATGCAGCGCCGACATGCAGGGCCCGGGGCATCGCCAAACTCGAGATGTTCGGGTGGTCACTGGTATTTGAAATCATTAGCTTCGGACAATTGTACCCCTATATAGCCTATGTACGCATATAATAGTGTAAACAATTACGCCAGCACAGACCCCAGATAGCAAAAAACATGCAAAACATGCTTCTGGACTGCACCCTGCATTGACATTGGCAGCAGCTCCAAAGCACACACAGAAACCTTTTTTACACTGGAAAAGCACCAATGTTCTGGCTGTTTGGGGAAACATGTGCAAAGAGCGCGTGCCATCTATGGGATGCTGTATCATGCGGGAAGAAAGTCCACAAGCAACGTCACTTAGAATGCTTGGCTGCTAACCCAGGATGCACAAATCCTACCCAGCACCAACAACACTGTCAACCCAGCCAGCTTGACACTTTCAAAAACAACACTTTGTCAAGCTCTACAATTGTATATATAGTTATATACATAATCTTCAAGCACTAAGGCATACAGATGTTCACGCAAAGCTCCATCAACCACATCCACAGCTTTGGATTGAGAGGGTGCGCAACCATGTTGGCTCCAAAAGTCAGCTGCCCCGCAATTTGCCAGCTTTCCAAGGACTCTTTCTCCACCACGTGCACAGCCAGCACCAGCACCTAGCATGGGCACCCAGCACCGGTACTCTGTCTCCACGACGCAGCCAGCACCAGCACCCTGTTTCCACCACGCGAACAGCCAGCTCACAGCACCCAGCACCAGCACCTGGCACCGGCACCCTGTCTCCACCACGCGCACACCCAGCACCGACCGGCACCCAGTCTCCACCACACTCTGACATTGGTTTTCGGTTAACTCAATTCCCAGGAGAAAAAGAATGGCATAACGGCAAGGCGAAGAGTCCGATCAATTGAAGGTGTTTGAACATTGGAGTTTCTCTCATCTGCAGTGATGCAACAGCAGCGCGCGAGCGAAGAAAAGCGGCAAAAGGAAAGTTTAGGGGGGGTATCATGCAAACCACCATGAAACAAAACGTGGAAAAGTGGAGTCACAGCTTGTGGAAAACTCCGCAGGTGCACACCGAGACGTCTCTCAGTGCTTGCCGTGCGTCAGGTAGCTTCGTTGGACATGGTCCCTGAACGCACGCCATGTCCCCCTGCTTTGAAATACGATTTGGTGGTGGTCAGCCCTTCGGGACAGGGTTTGACACACACACGGTGCCGCTTTGCGGGGCTCGTGCGAACGACCTGAATAGGTACCTAAAAGCCTTAGAAAGAAAAGAAAGAAACACAGAAAGAGCAGCGCTAAGAGGGCAAGAGAGAAAGGTAGGTAGACAAAAGTTAATACTTAGCCCTTGACTGGGGTAGGGAAACGAGCTTCAAGAGCATCCTAAAAAGCCTGAGAGAAAGCCCAAGAAACGACCAAAAGCGCAAGAAGGTCCGTGTGTGTGTGTATGAATACTTAGCACTCTAGAACTACTGATTACTTAGCGGAAGTGAATTAAATGCAATAGTTAGGGAGCGGGACTTTAGTCTTAGACCGCCCGGGTAGAGAAGACTAGAAAAGGGACAACTGAGGGAAAGGCACCGACACACAAGTGTGCCGAGTACCATTTCCCTCTGTTACCCTAATTAGTGGGTGGGAGGGGTTGGGGTGTTTGGGGTAGAAACCGCGTTTGGGTTCATTCTCCGTACAAGCCCGGCGGCTATTGGAGCAGTTAATCCAGTGGTGAAAAGGAGTCAGTTAAGAAAATCCAAGGAAAGAAAGATCCGAAAAGTCTGTTACACGATTTCTTTCCAGCATGACTTCAGCGCCCCAGTGACGGGGATCACACCCAGCACCCAAGTGGGACGGCTGAGCGGTTCACACTTTGACATTGGTTTTCGGTTAACTCAATTCCCAGTAGAAAAAGAATGGCGTAACGGCAAGGTGAAGAGTCCGATCAATTGAAGGTGTTTGAACATTGGAGTTTCTCTCATCTGCAGTGATGCAACAGCAGCGCGCGAGCGAAGAAAAGCGGCAAAAGGAAAGTTTAGGGGAGGTATCATGCAAACCACCATGAAACAAAACGTCACAGCTTGTGGAAAACTCAGCAGGTACACACCGAGACGTCTCTCAGTGCTTCCCGTGCGTCAGGTAGCTTCGTTGGACATGGTCCCTGAACGCACGCCATGTCCCCCTGCTTTGAAATACGATTTGGTGGTGGTCAGCCCTTCGGGACAGGGTTTGACACAAACACACGCAGCCGGCTCCCATCACAGCACCCAGCACCAGCGCCCGACACCGCCACCACGTACAGCCAGCACCCAGCACCGACACCCAGCACCCGCACCCTGTCTGCACCACGCGCACGACACCCTGTCTCCACTACGCGCACAGCCAGCTCATTGTTATTTGAAGTAAGAACCCCATAGCTGTCGCTATTTGGGGAAAAATGTACATGCATATACGTATGTGGTGCAGTGGGTCCACCCTTTTTCCTTCTTTCCTGCTCTTGGGAGTACACCGCCAGGCCAAGAGCAGGGGCCCCAGATCCAACAAGGAACCCATTTGTCTCTTCCCCGTGGCACCTAAATCAGTGAGGGTGCATAAGACATTCTTAAGTCTATTAAAAATGGGCTGATGGTGCACCATTATTTGTATATTTGGAATCCATCAAAAATAATGGTGCTAAGATATGAAACGAAATAGACCGATAGACCATGATGTTTTTTGCCAGTGAATTCATGTTTGTTTCTTTTATGCAAAAATATGATGGGGAACTTGAATTTTATCATTGTTTTATTGCCTATAAATTTCATGTTCATTGCCTTTTTTCATTCATGCTTTTTCACTATAGAAACCTTTTATTGGAAAACATATGAATGATGGGTATTTGAAGGGTATATGCTATTTGTTTTCATGGCATTTTTCACTAAAGACATTTCATAAAGCAAAGTGCAATAGTGCAAAAGAAAAATGTGCACTACCAAAAGCCAACAATCACGTAATATTGTTTTTGGCAGTGTTAATATAATGATGATCGAATATAGACCATATTTGTTTAATAAAATTTAGTGTAAGAAGAGACTAACATGAAAATTGCCGTGAATGTTTTTTGTTGATGGAATGTCAGGCCTTTGATTTTTGATAAAGTGATGAGAGTAAACGGCCTGACAATAAGACCATGAGCACCCTCACTGGCTTGTGGGTGCCGCAGGGAAGAGACAGATGGGCCCCTTCTTGGATCTGGGGCCTTTGAACTGAAGGACTTAAGACTGAAAAAACTAAGGGAGAGATGTCATGGCCAATATGTTCATGAAGGACTGGAAAGGTAGAAAGCTTCATTGAAAATTTTGACCTATCATCAGCATTTATGAATAACTGTTTTGTTTTCTAATAGAAAATGCTGCTGATAATGATGAAGTTTATGAATTTATTGCTCAATAGGCTTATAAGAGATAGATAGCAAAGCAAAATTCAATCAGCCCTATTTTCATTGAAATTGAAAATGATGATGACACAAACATCCACAGCCTAAAAGAAATCGATTATCACTCATATGGCTGTGGAAAGATCCCTCACAATACAGCCGATGGGATCACTTCGGTCGCCTTTTCCTACTTGACCTTCACTTACGCCGCTTCTGATTTCCTTCTATGTCAATGGAAATTGTGTTGTTATCATTAACTTCCATTAAAATGAAGAAGATACCAAAGGCAGCAGTAGATCTTAGGGTTGCAGCGTAGAAGCTAAGAAGTAATCAATATAATTGTTGACGTTCCTTAAGTTTTTGATATAGTCACCACACAACATGTTTTTTATTGGTAAGATGTCTTTGCAACATAAAATAACGGTGGGCAAGGAAAATACCAACATGAACCAAGAAAAGAAATACAAAGAAAAAAAACTCATAATCAATGTCATAATATTACTTTTTCATTTGCATTGTTTGTGAAGAAGCCATCAAATCTATGGCCCAAATATGCTGAGATTTCGATTAAGTTCTTTTGGCAATATGGTGGATCGGTCACTAGGTCACCTTCAATTTGAGCGATGGACGTGTCTGACTGGGCCCTTCTTGGATTTGGGGCTGCTGTTGGTGGATGATGTTTCTAGATATCACCCCTGTTATTTGTATTGCATATTTCTTAAACAAGGGGTGAGCATTTAATCCATCATATTCTATGTTACTTACTGTATTGGGTTTAATTGTAAAAATATGTCTTATCAAATTATTCTATTTTGGCATAGGAAATGTGAATAGAGAAATCGAATCCAAAAGAATATTATCATTCACCTTTCTCACTGTTGTGATTCGAAAAAAGTGAATGATAATCTATGATAAATTGAAGCCCATGAAATTCCAGCGTTTTTCATTCAATATCTTTCTGAAAGTTCGTATCATGTTATTCTCTTCGCTTTTTCCAGGCCACCAGGCAAGATGAGAAAAACACATCAATGAAAAAGATTTGATGATAAGACATGTGAAAAGATAG